TCACAGTACTAATAGAAATGCATGTTAGATTTAATCATTTCTATGAATGTATAATTAGGTTTAATTAGCCATTGAGGCAAGAGCCTTCATGTTGGTTTTCGTTAATGTATCACTTAAAACACTGGTATCTAGAAAATATTCTAAATTCCTGGAAAGGTTTGAAAAAAAAACTGTCCAAAACGTGTAATGCAAACTGATTTTGATTTTCTATTAACATGTACAACAAGAGAAAAATAGAGGCATTTCAAAACAGCCACTCATATATATTATAATCCCCCTTCATGTGCAAGTTTATCAATACAAAAACTAAACTTGCTACCTTTTTTATATAGCAGAGCCCACACACAGAACATGGAGAACTGGACTGTTTACTATCTCAACACCAACTCTAAAACCACTAGCTTAATACTCCTTATCTCAAAGTTTGAGAAAATTGTACTTTACCTTCTGGAATGCAACATTTACTCCTACATCAGAAGAAAAAAAATATTTCCAGTTTCAAATAAAGAAACAGCAATTCAAGGCATTCGCTCTGAATATCACACACACTATATATCAAAAACCTTAATGCCTTCTTTTGAACTGCCATAGTCCAGTTTGCCACATCTATTCAAAATTATGTAATACTGAAAAATACAAGCTTCTCAGAATTGTCAACAATGTGGCAGCATACAGAGAACAAACCTAGTCCTGTTACTCTAATTTTAGAGTTCTGCTGTGAGATCCCATACTATATACACAAGCTTTCTGCCCAGAATTTTCTTTTAAATCCTATCAATTCAAATAGTTAAGGGAAAAGGATTTAAGGAAACACTGCATTCCACACCAATCCTAGCTCCAGCAAATGAATATATCAGGAATTAAACTTATAATTTCACTTAAAGTCAAGAGACCGAGGGAGCTAGGCCTGTTCAGCCTGGAGAAGAGAAGGCTGAGAGGGGATCTAATCAGTGTCTATAAGTACCTCAAGGGAGGCAGTGAGGAGGATGTTGCTGGTCTCTTTACAGTGGTGGCCACTGACAGAACTAGAGTTAATGGCCACAAACTGAAGCACCAAAAGTTCCACAGGAACTTAAGGAAAAATTTCTTAACAGTGAGGGTGACAGAGCACTGGAACAGGCTGCCAAGAGAGGTTGTGGAGTCTCCTTCTCTAGAGATCTTCAAAACCCACTTGGATACAGCCCTGTGCCACGTGCTCTAGGTGACCCTGCGTGTGCAGGGGGGTTGGACTGGATGACCTCTAAAGGTCCCTTCCAACCTTGAGCGTTCTATGATTCTAAATCTGTTAAATTTAAAAACAACTAACTGATTTAGAAAAAAATCATATTAAAAAATGCTCCAATGAACAGAAACCAAATCATGATTTCTCGCATGTTCTTTACTCAATGTTCTAAACTAGTTGGAATATTTTGTAAATTACATATTGTAGTGTCATCTAACCAGAACACTAGCAAAACTCTTTAAGGAAAAAATACAAACTTGACCTAGGAAAGAAATGATGTGTCTAGGGCTTTGTAAATAATTATTTCTGGCCTGCAAAGCAAACTGAAGACTAAAGAAAATTACTACAAATACCTCTATCATGTTTGTGATAAATAGGTTATGCATGCTTTCCCTAAGTATAACACTTATTTGCAAAAAGTCAACTTCACTTCATCTTAGTTTTGCAGCAGTTTCTGTAAGGGAAAGTGCTGATCAAGTTTGCATTAATAATGTCCACCTGTAATACCACTTCCAAAGGAAAGTTGGCTTTTAAATTCTCAGTGGTTTGTTCTCAGTCTTTCTATATACACACCTGCAAAAATTCAAGTTTGAAGCAGCTGATCTGGGCTTTGTGCTTAAAGTCAAAGTTTGAGAATTCACCTCTAGGTGGTAAAGACTATAGGGTTTTACTAAAAATCTGTTTTTATGTATTATAATAAAAAAACACTTTAAAAAAGCATGCATTTCAAGTAGTCCTTTAGACTTTTTGCAGAAGTATTTTAAAAATAAGTTGTGCATATGAATAAAAGCTTTCTCCACATTTTACAAGAACAGAAGTTTTAGAGAAATATCCTAACAAATTGTAGTAGACTAAAAACTGATAGCATCTGACTCAGCAGGCTATTTTTAAAGTTTAAAGATTTTTAGAGCTTAAAAATTGGATGCATCTCCAACTTTTCAAATAAAACTGATTTTTGAAAGCACTGTTAGATTATTGATGTCTGAACTTCCTGAACGTTAAAAATACTTCTGCAAGTGACATTAATGAGGTTAAGACAATTACAAAAATACTTACATTGCATTTACTTTCTCTTCTGGACCCTGAACCTGGCCCGTTACAGTCCCTTTGCTGGTATTTTTAACCCAGCCGACCACTCCTAATTTCCTAGCTTCCTCTTCTGTGTACTGATTTGAAAAATAATAATAGAAAAAGATAATCAGTGCTAGCACACATACTACATGCCTATTGCTTAAAACCCCACTTTCATTTTCAGCTTTAAGACTCATACCCAGAAGAAGCAGATCTGTAAGTGATGCTTATACCCAAATATTAAGATGTTCCAATTCTGAACTTGCAGCAGAAGCAGCCAACTTGAGAAAAGGAGTGAAATTAATACATAATACATACATGAGTCATTTAAAATATTTTGTTGCCATCACTTTTTTAATACATATCCTTAAAAACATGAAAAGATAAACATGTGATAGTCCTACCCAGCACTTGTATGCAAGCAGTAAGAGAACTTCTTTCTGAGGATTTTTCCATGTATAGGAAGCTTCCCTATGAGATTTTTTCAGAGGGAAGAGGTAAAAATTGTTTTTAGTTTTAAATACAATTGTAATCATAAAGGACTCAACTCCACGACTGCAAACTCCCTTATGCTTTGCCTCCCCCTTTCCCTTGCTTTGCCTCCCCCTTTCCCTAGCTTTGCCTCCCCCTTTCCCTAGCTTTGCCTCCCCCTTTCCCTAGCTTTGCCTCCCCCTTTCCCTAGCTTTGCCTCCCCCTTTCCCTAGCTTTGCCTCCCCCTTTCCCTAGCTTTGCCTCCCCCTTTCCCTAGCTTTGCCTCCCCCTTTCCCTAGCTTTGCCTCCCCCTTTCCCTAGCTTTGCCTCCCCCTTTCCCTAGCTTTGCCTCCCCCTTTCCCTAGCTTTGCCTCCCCCTTTCCCTAGCTTTGCCTCCCCCTTTCCCTAGCTTTGCCTCCCCCTTTCCCTAGCTTTGCCTCCCCCTTTCCCTAGCTTTGCCTCCCCCTTTCCCTAGCTTTGCCTCCCCCTTTCCCTAGCTTTGCCTCCCCCTTTCCCTAGCTTTGCCTCCCCCTTTCCCTAGCTTTGCCTCCCCCTTTCCCTAGCTTTGCCTCCCCCTTTCCCTAGCTTTGCCTCCCCCTTTCCCTAGCTTTGCCTCCCCCTTTCCCTAGCTTTGCCTCCCCCTTTCCCTAGCTTTGCCTCCCCCTTTCCCTAGCTTTGCCTCCCCCTTTCCCTAGCTTTCCCCTGCTTTGCCTCCCCCTTTCCCTAGCTTTGCCTCCCCCTTTCCCTAGCTTTGCCTCCCCCTTTCCCTAGCTTTGCCTCCCCCTTTCCCTAGCTTTGCCTCCCCCTTTCCCTTGCTTTGCCTCCCCCAGCCATTTGACTCTTCAACAATCAGCATCTAAGATCACTAAGTCACTTAAGTTCCTTTTCTCCCATTTCACTGTACATCCTTTCCACCTGGCTTTCACCCCTTCAATTCTACCATTTGCTGACACATTACTACAAGCAAACAAAAAGATCATTATCTAATCAACCTGCTTCTCTTACATTTGCATTGCAACAGAGTTATGCTTTTATACTTTATGTTCACTTCTGGCAGTGAAGTCAGGAACTTCCAAGTACATCAATATTCTGTTTTTATTTCCTGTCAGTCATGTACATGTGTATCATGTGCACAGTTTTTCCCTGAGGCAGTAGGGAACAGAAAGCCAAGAATTTACCAATTTACCAGTATAGCCAATACACAGTATGCCACCTTTTCATAGACTTCAAAATTATACATATTAGATGCAAGAATATGTTTAAACCTATACTGTCCATGTTCCTACATGGGGTTAAAGAGAATAATCAGAATGACGGCTGTAATAAGCTCTCACAGAGCTTTATGTATAATTAAGAAATAGCCACCAAACGTTTTGCCATACATGCAGTAATACCCCAAATAGCACACAGGTACTAGATACATACACTGTGGCAACTGTCTCCTCAGGTACTTTAAATGCCAGCAGCCAATCTTCAGGTCAATATGACCACATTTCAAAAGACAGTCCATATAAAATTTTGGGTAGCCTAGCATATAAAATAGTGCTGCTACCAGCAAGGAGTACTTTTCAAGCTGATTGAACAACCTCTCCCCTCCTAAGCTGACCAAAAGCTTGGAAACACAGCCAATAAACTAATAAACCCTAATAGTAAGCAGGTTAGGACTAGCACCATAATGTGTGTTCTCATGGCCTCAGGTGAGCTCAAAATAGGCAGAGCAAGCTCACACCTGCCCATCAAATAACAGGAAATGTACACTTATCCTTTGGTAAAGGACAATTAAATCTAGGACATGGCACTCCAGCATCCATTTCAAGCTATTTCACAACAGAAACTACATATAACTTCTAGACCCAACACTAGGGGCCAAGCACAGGCCCCTATTTTCAGAAAGCACTGTTGCTGGTGGTTTCTGGAATGAGGCCTCCTTTTTATGCAGCCTCTGCACCTGGCAAAGCTTCCTGCTGGATGTTCAGAACTAGTGAGAAGGCTATGAGCTCCAAAGACTAAAATTGCATATCACATGGATTCAGCAAAGCATTATGTACTTCCTTAAATACCAGTACTGCATTTTAAATGTCATAAAAATAACATGGAAACTCTTTTCTTCAAAATCAAAGACATCGAGAGTTAACTTTCCCAGTTATGTTATATGTTAGGCTTATTGAGCTATGTCACATACTATAATGCCTTTGCAACTACTTTATCAAAAGTAAGCCTAGCACTCCATAGGTACCACACAAAAGTAACCATTACACGAATAAACTGTTAAAAAGTGTGTTTTAATGCAACAGAAATATCAAAATAGAATTTATCGCCTTCCAAATCCACATGCAATACTTAGCCGGCACAGCATAGAAAAAGCCAAGCTCCCATGCCTGGGCTCCGCACGCCAGGGCCGTATTTTTAGCCGGGGAAACACGACCCGCGGCGCGGGGACACGGCACAGCGCCTTACCATTCGGAAGCAGACACCTGCGGAGACACAGAGAGGGGTGAGCACAACGCGCGCGGGGCAAAAACGCCACGGAGAGCTTCACCTAACGTAAAACGCTAACAGGCCGCAGGCAGGGACCCGCTGCGGGACGCCTACCCCCTGGCGCGGTGCACCGAGGCGCA